CCAGCCTGGACTACGGAGTGAGTTCCAGGAAAGGCGCAAATCTACACAGAGAAACCCTATCTCGAAAAGAAAAAGAAAAAAGAAAGAAAAGAAAATGAGAGAGGCGGCTCAGTTGTTATAAGAACTTGCTGCTCTTTCAGAGGACAGGGCTTGATTCCCAGTATACACATGCTGGCTCATGTACGTCTCTAACTCCAGTTCCAGGAGATCCACCATTGTCTTCTGACTTCTATGGGCATTAGGCAAGCACAAGGCATACATGTGTGCATGCAGGCAAACACTCATGCATAGAAAATAAAAATAAAATTCTTTTCAGAAGTGCTTATTTAACATAGCATTTTGCCATCTGCCTCTTTTGCTTTTGTCCTAAGAATTAAAGCCAAGGACTTGAACTATGTAGCTGAGGCCGGTACTGAACTTGGAACCCTCTGCTCCTGTCTCCTAAGTGCCAGGATCATAATCACTCATTTCCTTTTGTAGTCACTCCTGTTGGGATCTTACCCAATTTGGGTGGAAGGAAGCTGGGGGCTGAGCCCAGAGTTTCCATATGCTAAACATATGCTGTACTACTGAGTGAGTGTGTGTGTGTGTGTGTGTGTGTGTGTGTGTGTGTGTGTGTGTCCGTGCACATCATATCCTCATCTTACATGTGGAGATCAGAGGACATCTTCGGGAAGTTGATCCTCTATTTTTTTCCCCATAGAGGTCCCGGAGATCAGACTCAGGCCGTCAAACTTGGTGGCCAGCACCTTTACCCACTGAGCCATCCTTCTGGCATCCAATGCCCAGTTCTAAAACTCCTTACTTAACTATATTTCTCCCTTCGTCTATCACCCATTATTTTTCCTCTAAAACTCCCCAAAAGATGGCAAGACAGATGCATACTTGTGGCCTGTTCCTCTCCATTGCTCCTTCAGATTCCCAGAAATGGGTTTTTATCCCTGGGAATGAAATAAAATGGTATTTTTGAAGGCCCACATTGGGTCAAACCTAATGATTCAGTCTTTGAATAGTTTGTGATGTAGTACACCAACCCCTCCCCAAAGCTGGGGTTTGAACCTAGGGCCTCAGGCATGCTAGACCACATCCCCAGCCCTTGCTTCAGGAAACACTTCCCTGGGCTCTTGTGATAATCCCCTCTCTGATGTTCTTTTTACATGAGGTTTTCTTCTTCATGACACAAGAGTTCTATCCTCCCCTCTGCCTTTCTCTTCATATACAGTCTTTCCCAGAAGACCTACTTCATCCAGTTCACACTTTTTATGATCCTCCATCTAGAAATACCTTTCAGATTTCTATCTTCAGCCCAGGCATTCCCCTTTCATTCTAGATCTGTTTGTTTGTTTTTGTTTTTTGGGTGTTTTGTTTTGTTTTGTTTTTCCAGACAGAGTTTCTCTGTGTAGCTTTGGAGCCTGTCTTGGAACTCACTCTGTAGCCCAGGCTGGCCTCGAACTCACAGAGATCCACCTGCCTCTGCCTCCCAAGTGCTGTGATTAAAGGCATGCACATGGCCACGTAAGCGCGCAACGTGACCATGTGATCTACGCACACGCGTGGAGTAGTGACGTGACCTGGCCACGCCCCCAGCCGGTTTTAAAGCAGAGCGCCATATTCCTGGTTCTCTCTCTCTCTCTTCTTCTCCACGCACGTGTCTCTCCCACAGGCCTGCGCACTCTCTATCCCTTTATCTCTAATAAACTCTTATAAGCAGATTCTGTCATGTTTCGTGACACTTCCTTGCAGGGTAAGAACACAACACAGCTAAATAACTAACATTTAGTTAGTTATTTACCACCCGGCTCACTCGAGATCTTTGAGGCACTTGCCTGCCTGACTGCTCAAAGGCTGAATGAGCATTTAGATGCTAACATACCTAAAAAAGGCCTAGTGGCGGCGGCGGCAGCGGCGGCGGCGGCGG